GAGCAGGGAGCCCGATGCGGGACTCGATCCCGGGACTCCAGGACCATGACCTGAGCCGAAGGCAGTCGCTTAACCAACTGAGCCACCCAGGCGCCCAGGGGGGCCCCAGTTTACTCCATAGTTCTCTGTATCCTCCTAATCTTGGGGAGATGGCTTTGCTTGTTCTTGGGGAGACACTCCAGTTGGAGGGAATAGGGCACTGGGAATGCGAATCTGACGAAGCAGAACATTGCCCAAAAGAAAGGAGTTCCCATCAGTAATAAACCCTAACAAAAAGAGTACAAGAACCGTTTTTATAAATGCTTCATTAAGTTAGTAACAGAAAATGCACATTTTCACCACTATTTTAAAAAATATATTTGGAATTTCTAGCTAATGCAACCAGGTAAGAAAAAGAAATAAGAGGCATAAAAATAAGGAAGTGAAATGATTGTAATTTCTGAATGATACATAGATGATCTAGATAAATCATGAGAATCAACTGAAAGGCATCAGCAAGATGGTGAAATAGGAGGTGCCCTGCTTGCATCTCCTCTCAGCAACAGTAATTTGGCAGCCATCCACAGACTAAAGTGCCTCTGTGGGAGCCTTGGGATCCAAGGGAATTGTGAAACCCCGGTGGAGTCCAAGACTGACAAAGGCCATTCTGAGAAGGGAGGTCCATGCCCAGATGGCTGACTCACCAACTGTGGTCCTGACAACAGACCCAGAAATAGTTCTGTCCCCCTGTGGACTTGGCTACAGCACCTTTTGGTCTTGGTCCTGCCAGCAGCACCATAAAGCAAGGGACCCAGGAGTCACTTCTGCCTGTGTCTCAGATAACAGGCCTGCAGACCTTAGTTCTGAGAGCTAGTCCCTCTCAGCCACAGTCCAAAAGTCCCTGGAGGCAAGCTCACCAAACTCTGTCTGTAGATCCTGAAATAGCCCTTAACTGGACTCCAGCTCCTCTTGGTTATGTAAATGAGCAGACCAGCTAGTCCAGAGACTTGTCAGTGCTCCTGGAGACAAGCCTACCAACCTTGTCTGACTTCAGATCCTGAAACTTCTAACTTGGCTCCAGGCCATCCCAGCCATGGTCAGGGAGCAGTCCTGGTGGGGGACACACTTATCCATCCCTCCAGAACCAGGTCTGTAGACACTGGTCCTGGCTGTGGATCCTGAAGAGCCTGGAGACTCAGTTCTAGTCCTTCTCAGCCACAGTCCAGGGCTCATCCTGCCTGCCCAGGGACCTACCCAGTGACCCAGCAGGAGCCCTCTCAGAAATCTGGTGGGAGCCACACTCATTCTTGCAGCTGGTAATAGGCCTGCTCTACTCCAACCCTCGTCCCAATGCCAGCCCCACTGAACAAGGTTCTGCAGTCAATCCTGTCCACCCAGAGACCAGACCAGATCCACAGCCATCTGAGCCCCTGGTAACAGGCCTACAAATTGTGGACCCCATTGTGGATGTAACAACTGCCACATGACCTGGCTCCATTCCAGATCAATTTAGATTCTGGAGGTAATCTCATGAGCCTGGGGAACTGACAGGAGAAGGTCTTTACTTGCCAAAACCAGTCTGTAAAGACTGGAAAGGGTGTTTGCTCCTTCAAATGCAAAAAACACCAATGAAAGACTATATGGATCACAAAGAATCAAACATGACACCATCAAAGGAAACTAATCAAGTTCCACTAAATGACTCCAAAGATATGGAGCTCTGGGGACTGCCTCAGAATTTAAAAAAAAAAAAAAAAAAAAGAAGATTATTTTGAAGATTTTATTTATTTATTTGAGACAGAGAGAATGAGACAGAGAGCATGAGAGGGAGGAGGGTCAGAGGGAGAAGCAGACTCCCTGCAGAGCAGGGAGCCCGATGAGGGGCTCAATCCCAGGACCCTGGGATCATGACTGAGCTGAAGGCAGACGCTTAACAACTGAGCCACCAAGTGCCCCAAGATTTAAAAAAATTTAGTAAAAAAACTTAAGTTCAACGTGGGGTCGAACTTACAACCCCGAGAGTACGAGTCGCATGCTCCACTAAGCCAGCCAGGTGCCCATCCTCGAGCAGTTTATCGTTAAGCTCTACCTACTCCTTGTTCTCCCCGGGATGGGTGGGTCTCCAATGGGACTATACACCAGAATCACCTGGGAAATTTTAAATGAGTTGGGCCTTGGAACCCATCTCCAGAGATTACTGTTTAATTGGTCTGGAGTGAGGCCTGGATGTCAAAAGTTTCAAGAGCTCCCCAGGTTTGCTTGTGGGAGCTCGGCCCATCCTTGAGGGTTCTTAAAGCAGAAGCAATCCTGTCAGCAAAACCCAGAATATTTTCAAAACTCTACTGGACAAAATTCGGTTTCTTCAACAAATGCCCTGTGATAAATACCAAGAATGGAGAGTGAAGGGAAGGGAGGGGGCGTCTGCAGACTTAGTATAAAAAGCACTCAAGAGACAGACCAACTAATGGCAACACATGAACCTTATTTGAATCTTGATTTCAACAAAGTAACCGTAAAATAAACATTTATGAGACAACTAGGAAAATTGGAACATTGACTTTAAAAAAAGTGATAAAATACACATAATAAAAAACTTACCATCTTAACCTTTTCACAGCATAAGGTACATTCATATTGTGTAAATATTAAGACATTAGTGTGATAATGGTTTTTATATTTGTGTTTTCAAAAAAAGTGCTTATCTTTTAGAAATACATATACTAAAATATTTAGGGATAAAATGATATAAAGTGAGACTTTTTTTTTTTTCAAAATAGATGAAACAAGACTGGCTTGTTTTGGTAATGAAGTAATTGTTGAAGCCGGCTAACAGAAGGGTAGAGTTCATTAGACTATTCTCCACACATTTCTGTGGGCTTGGCATTTTTCTTAAAGTTTTTAAAAATTGGGGTGCCTGGGTGGCTCAGGAGGTTGAGCATCTGCCTTGAGCTCAGGTCATGATCTTGGGGTCCTGGGATCGAGCCCCGCATCGGGATCCCTGCTCATTGGGGAGCCTGCTTCTCCCTCTCCCACTCCCCCTGCTTGTGCGCTCTCTCATAAATAAATCATTTTAAAAAAAAGTTTTTAAAAATTAAATTTCCTGGTGCTTTTTTTTTTTTCAAAGTAGTCTACCGTTGATTTTTCTACTTGTCCTTTCTTGTCAACCCTTTTCTGCTCTGCTTCTACTAGTCTGTCAGTTCTCACTAGTTTTTTCTGTGACTTCACATATACCTGAAATTTCATTCTGCCTCTTTCTGTTTTCTTTTTTGGGGGGGTGTCAAATTGTCCGAACAATTAGGCACTTTGAATTGACACCCAAGGGTCTCATTTTCCCAAGCGCGCTACCTGGAACGTGAGTGGGTCTGCCCCCACCCCCCATGCCCGCACAACCCGTTTTTCACCGACCTTGACTGGCTGCCTGATGAAGAGGTTGTGAAGCACTGATAAAAGCACCCATGTAACCCAGCTGGTGGCTTTTGCTCTTTGGCCAGCTCCAGGCTATCAAGTGCATTAAAAAAAGGCTGCAGCCAGGCTAGTGACACCCAGAAAGAGCCAGCAGATGTAAGTCAACTCTCCGGGCAGGCCATGAGCGATGGGCTCAGGATGGGGAAACTGGTTGCCTCCCTTCAGAACAGAGATTGGGGCGCCTGGGTGGCTCAGTCGGTTGAGCGACTGCCTTCGGCTCAGGTCAGGATCCTGGAGTCCTGGGATCGAGTCCCGCATCGGGCTCCCTGCTCGGC